TTTGTATCCCGCTAATGACTTAGATCAAAGAATTGAGGATTTATATTATTGAAGTTTCAGGTCATTTGTATGTTTATGTTGGGAGGGTATTTATTTGGTTTCAACAACGCTCCAAAACAATCATAGCTTAAATGATGTAAGATAGGTGTTATGTCGTTATTAGATTCAATTAGCATTACCAAATAATAATAATGATAAGGTAGTAATTATGAATATTTATAGTGAAATAACCATGATGATAACGATGATAATAATACTAATATTAATAACAACGATAATGAAAATGATAGTAGTCATAATAATGATATTAATAATATTAATGATAATGATAATAATAATGCTGATGATATTAACAATAATGATTGATTTTGTAACAAGAAGAAGAAAAAGAATTTATAGCAAACGAAATTGTAGGGATTCGATTTTATTCAAGAATTGATTCTAAGTTTGTGGCTTCAGCACCTCGAGACATTCTTTGAAAAACACAATCTGAAACTGTAATTAGATGTTTTTGCAATTCCTCAGTATCAATTAAAACTACACTTTGATTAATTAATATTACAAGGTTAGCAACCTATATACAAATATTCTGTTTTTCTCGCACTCTTGTGAACGATGCGCTCGTTATAATGAGTACGTAATGTCCTTATACGGTGAAAACAAAAAGCCAGACAAAAAAGTCAGTCAAAAAGTAAGACAAGCAGACTGTTTAGTGGTGGAAAATTATTTTTATTTGGTGAGAATAATCCAGCAAGAAATTAAACATTTTTGAGATTCCTAAGAAATCTCCAACGAGCTATTTTAGTCATGATGTGTAATGGCTTAATCAAAATACTCTACTAAAAACAGCTCACGGTTTCTTTGATTTGTAGAATGGTTCAAGGAAAAATTGGTAATTTTAGAAAATTTGTTTTCAAAGGCAAGAAGGGGATTCTCTTTACCCAGTATTATGAATAGAATCCTATGGGAAGATATCATGAATAAAGACTTGTCTTGATCATATTTTCCCCTGACTTTCTTAAACGATTCTTTTCTATTGGTTGTTTAATTTATGATAATTCTGTATCCATGTGCAAAATGTATTACCTAAGGATAAAGAGCAAATCATCTTTTTACATAAGATCACTTTTTCCGAACAACATTTTGTCTTCCCTTTTCCCTTTTCAAAGCCCTTTTGAACTGAAAATACTTCCCGATAGGCCCACTATTCATATTGTTTTTCACTCGTTATTATCTTTAGGAATTAAAAAAGTGGCTAAAAAAAAAAATTTCAGTAAAATGATTATTTTTATAATTTCCGTTAAAATTATTGTCGTAGAAATTATCATGAGTCATGTGTTAAAATGTGTTTTATGCTTTTAAAAGTGCTCACATCAAACTAAAATTAAATAGAAATCTAAGGTTTCCCATTACCACCCCCCCCCCCCCCCACCAAAAAAAAGGAAGAAACTTTGGACCAAATTTCAATACATGTTTATGTAGTCCCATGTATTTTATCCGAGTGCAGTGCTTTTCACTGTCCGTGGTTTTGGTTAAATGCACTTGTTATCGCTTTGACGATTCCAAACCTCACAATACATAATTAGACCAACCAACATAACCGAAATAACTTCTCAACTGTCTCTTTCACAATAAATTGTATCACGTGAAAGCTGAATTAGAGATATAATTCTAAATTAATTAGTCTCCGAGCTTGCTGAGATGAAGAATGGAGGATGCGACGTTATCCAGAGAAACATGGATGAAAGGCGAGATGGAGGATTTTAGCTGACCGCCCTCTTCAGGCGACTTAATACTTTGTTCTTTACTGGTAGCTTTCGTGTCGTCTGCTTCCAAAATCAGACGTTTTGGTCATGAGCGGGATTTTATTCATATCGCAGAACACGACATTGTAAATCAAGAAAATATCAAACTTTATTGATTAGTGATATAGTTTGTAAGTGATAATATACGCCAATTAAACTAGCAATTTATTGTTTTCGTTTCCATAGTAGTACTGCCATCATTACTCGATGAAATGTACAGTTGGAGCAGATTTTACCTGATTTTGTAAACACATAATAATGTATTATCCTATGCGCTAAGATGGCGTAAAATGAAACTACGGGAAGATTGATAAATTATCATGATCACTTATGATTCTTTTAAAGATAATTAGGCTATATGAATACCGTCTCTTTCGCGACAGCAGTCTATGTCACGTTGTTTAATTAAAAATCCTTGCCTAAAAAACGGGAAATGATATACAGGCAGGTTAATATCGGGGTTAATAATTATTATGTACGCTTTTTTACTTGAAGTCGTGTCTCTTTGGTCGTGCGCAGAAAGAAAAAAGATGGTGTACGTCAAATTTTCTCGTACAGTGCAGCCTTTTCACCAAAAATTGTAAAATAATTTCGGTAAGGATGACCATCATTGGAATACCGAAGATAAGGGTTTTACCAAATCCCTTTTTCATTGGTGATTTGCCGTTCTTTACCCAGGCAGGAGAGAATAAAACTATGGGATTCACCGGAGGGTTCGCTATGGAGTAGCTTTCGTGTTAATGGAGATGAAAATCATAGCGATTCACCTTACTGTAAAATTGTTTTGTCCTGTAGTTATTATTATTATTGTTATTGTTGTTAATAATGCAGCCTAGAATGCCTTTTTTTGTTCCCATTCCGAGTAAGCTGATCGATTGATTCTTTTCATTTTCCCTAGTTGCTATGAAAACAAGTATAATGCTCGTAGATGAGCAACAGGTAGGCAGACGATACATCAGCTTTACGTGATATCCGAGGGGTTTGGTAATTAAAGATCGATTAAAACGTTACCAAAGTGGCATTATGATTATTCAAAATAATAGTATTGCAATGCATAACGAAATCATTATCTATATAATTTCATATACTTAATCTTTATTTGTTAAGGACACTTTTTGGAGAAAAAGGGGCATGTAGGGGGCACTTAGGGGCATGACCGCTAAAATTCGAGGAAGTCTTTCCTTTCGCTTTTCCATTACTACGATACTGTTTGAAAATCAACTTACTCAAATATACATCTGATGTATATTGCTGGGGGCTTCTATCTGCATTTTTAATTCTACTCTATGAAGTTGCCTTCCTGTTTTTTAATTTAAATACTTTGAATTGCAGACCGAATATCATTCCAAGGCCTTCGTCAATGACATGTACGTCACTCTACATTTTTTTTTTTGGTTTTCATTATTTTGCGTTGATTCCATAGCCAGGTACTTGTTTTGTGTTTTGTCAGGAAACCCGACAGAAAACATGGCAATTATTGATGAAATTATTACATCTATAATATAGTTAAATGAGAGTTAAAACCCTTTATCTGTTTGTTTGTTTGATACAGAGTGACTCAGAGGTATACGGTCGGAGCGAATAGCACCACAACATAAATGCCAACATTTTCTTAACAGTAAAGGCGTTCAAATCCTTGAGAAAATTTGTTGGTTTATTTGTTTATATACCTCGAACCATATATTTTGTAACAAACTGTATTTATCAAATATATTGAATTTTCAAATGAATTAAACAAATTAAAAACAGCTAGTAATTACGCATCACCAATATAAACATATCTGTTTTCCGATTAATAGCAACCGTTTATTTTGAGTTATAAGCAATTTCAGACCTAATCTGGAAATTGGACGCTTTCAAGAAAAAAGTATATTTTTCGGAGTTTTAGCCGGTGTTGTAGTCTTGTTAAACTTCAGGATTTTCTAAACATCACAGTCATTATTATTGAGGCAAGATAAATTAATATGTAGGCCATAACTTTTCCTAATCAAAATATATTCGTAGTATCATCGTCGATGATAATGGCTAATGGGCCTACAATTTTGTTTTATAATTATGCGAGAAAAAAAATGATAATCAAATTGAGAAATACAGTGAGGAAGGCTTGTTGGTTAACCAGTGTTGGCCTGCCCCCCCCCCCCCGGCCCACCCCTCCCTCTGTCCAGAGAGATATTGAGAGAGGTAGCTACTTCCGATTTTGCAGTGGCAAATTGAGAAGAGCAAACGCCGGCGTACACCCCCGCCCCCTGTTTGAATGTCGGCATTAAACAAAAATAATTTTAAATTTCAGTTGGTCTGACAGGCCAGGTATAATAACCCCTCCCTCAATCATGGATACACCATTGAGTTTGTGATTCGTGTTCAAACGGATTGCATTCTATGAACTTCTTTTGAAAGTTTGTGGTAATCGATATGTCTGTATTATAATCATTGTCATGCTCGTACTTTTAAACACTCCATTGCTTTTTCTTTCGTTTTGAATTTTTTTTGACATTGTAAAAAACATGAATAATTTGATAATTTGTACCCGATGCATAATGTTTTTGTTGTCGGCGTGTTTTTTTATTTTTTTTTATTTTGCATTTCGAGGACATCAGTGGTTATCTCGAAGAAATGGGAAACAATTAGCAATATGAAGATGAAATAGGTATCTGACTTTTATTTTATATTTCATTTGGGGATGTTTTGTATTTCAGGGGGCCCTTTTAAGGCAACAATAGGGCAGTTTGAAGAAAAAACAACTGCTGTCGGGAATTTTTGTTGGCTCTCGCCGAATCGGGTTCTGTGTCTTGGTCAATTTGTCTGTCTTATCTCCTAGCTGCTTGCAAGGCATCCAGACCAGTTATGGGGTTGAGAAAAATATATAAGGCAGATAAAGTAAGTCGTGTCAGCCATGAAGTCGGACTAGACGGTGTCCGAATCGTCATAATAAACAAGAAAATGCGTACGTGATGTGTTCTTCTGAGGACATTTATAAACATATTTATAGATTATATTCACGCACAAATACACAGGCAGACCCACACACAAACACACACACACTCGCGAGCGACGTAATATTACGTGGGGATTGAATGGTTGTATTCAACTCTTGCATACAGGGAGCCGGAGTTTATGTCTCAGTTAGCGCATGCGTAGTTGGTCTGTTGGCCGCACGTACCCTTGGTATAGCCGTCTGCTTGTAATGTCGCTGTATAAAGCCAATCTAAAACCTCATGGAACATTACACTCAATGGTTTACATACTGTCTACTGCATGTCACACTGTTTTCTGACTTTTTGTGAGATGCTGCACCAACTTTCCCCACATGTTTTCCACACGTTTATTTAGCAAACAAGAAAAGTTTTTTTCTCTCGACATTACTTTGGAAGTAGCCTTCTGTGTGACTTGGTAATTCTTTTCTTTGGCAGAATTCAGCTTTTTATAGTTCGAATTCTCACTTTTGCTGGACTTTGTAAAAGTGTTATTCTTGACGGTTGTTTATCGTTGACGGAACAGTCACTTTCGGTGTGTCGACTCGCGTCGACGGGACGATATAAGATTTATTCATGAATCGTGAGGAGACAGGCGTTAAAATTTCGAATTACAGGGATTACAACGCGTATCATCGCTACAATATGCCGATGTTACCCGACCATGCCGAGTACTTATTCCCATGCCCTGGGCCTTATTCCATGGATGAATATGGCGAAATTCCTTTGGATACTACCTGTACATTAAAAAGTAAGTTTTGACTCTTCTAGCTCAGTAAACTATATCATTGCCTTTTTATTGCTTGTAATTCATGCGAGGGTCTCTTTTGAACTTTAGTCAACTCAACATAAGTCAACATATGAATTATATAGTTATTTTATTACACTTTGTTAAACACGTTATTCGTAACATAAAAGTCCAAAAAAATTATCACTAGAATTTGACAAAAATTATGTAAGAGGATTGATTATGAGAATATTCTATTGCTGTTATGATTTCCTCATTGTCTGTATATTTCTTCATTTGCATCAGTTTTACTTATTTTGTTTAATCGTATTTCTTCAAAACTTTGAGACCGTAGCAGCCTACACTCGCTCTATGCAGCGAGAGAGTTAGCCTGTACTTTACTGTGCGCATGTGTAAATCAGCGGCATGATTTCACGTACTCGTGCTAGTGTATTTATTCCGGAAGATAGTGTTCCTCCAGGGTTTGTTGTGTACTGCTATTTCTACTCTTCTCTCTCAACCCATTACTGATTGGCTAAAAGATCAGTGGAAAAGCTGAGAGTGTGCCCACTGACCAATCAGCGGCGACGTCCTATCGCCCATACTCGTTATGTATGCGAACGTGACTAAGGTTCATTTACATATCATGAATATGCAGTGCTGACTTTCGGACTTGCGCAGTATGATTTTCTCATCACGTTCAACTCCTTTGCATGCATGTCTACTACGGTTTTTTTCCCTCCCCTCTCTCCCTCTCTCTCTCCCCTCGCAATGTATGAGCCGCAATATTATTCTACATACGAAACCTATAAACCGAAATCGCACAGTATAGTGCCCAGTTCGTTGGCTTTTTCTCGTGTTTCTAATGGTGCAAGATTTTTTGGAACTAAATATACCACTGAGGATAAATGTTGGTTAGAGTTTTGGAGGTTGTGAACCATCGACAAAGGAGAATTGATTATAAATCATCGATTGATCGTTATATTTGCGTGCCTGGTTTGGACGGGGAATTGCCCTGTGTGTAGCCTAGGAACGCACCCGTGTCCGCCCGTTCTTTGGTTCGTTCGTTCGTCTGTGTGTGTGTAGAGCTATGGAAGCAGACGCCATCGCCTATGTGTCTGGGGGACCCGCCAGTCTTATTATGCCCCCGTTGGGTCAAGGTCAGAGTTCTTTTCTCATTCACTCTGTTTTGACTGCTAAGCCGTTGGCTCGCTCATTTTCTTCACTTTTATTACCAGAAAAGGGTCCAAGATTAAGGAGAAGATAAATAAATCTTCATAATTTGTTATAATTATGTGCATTTTCATGGTATTTTTAGCGCGACACTTCGAAGAGTTGAAAGTGAGAGCGCGAGAGAGGGAGAAATGAAGAGCGTGTGTATCGTGTCTTGTGGATGCAGTAATTCACAGGGGGGCGCGCCCAAGCCCCGCCCTCGCGATCTGCCATCTAATATATCTAGGGATGTTTCATTTCATTTTCTTTCTCGTTCCTTATTTGTTTTTCACTTTTTGTATATAGCTCCTCGATATACTATTAGGCTTAATTGCAGAATACCCTACCATAACATTTTTAATCTTACAATTATTACTGATTTTTAGTTACTAACCCGGACTTCTAACCATGCAGGCACGCATCACAATTCCTCATGATTTAGTCTCCTTGTTTATTCAAATATTTCGGTTTGTTCTGCTTTTCTATCTAAATTTTAAGATATTATATTACTTTTGAAAGCCTATTTATTAGTTACAGATGAAAGAACTTTGTTTATAATTTTGTGCTACCCATCTTGCCTCCTTTTCTTATAGCCTATTGGGTGATCTATGCTATAAAAATTTTCCTTTTATCAGACTTGCTTTATTTCTTGTATTTGTGTTTTGTTTATCCATTGCCCATGTTCAACATGCATCTGGCAATAGCCGTTTCCTTCCCTCTTATATTTCGTACACCCCCCCCCCCTCTTAAGTTTTTCTTCTTTCTGATGATCCGTGATTACTGTGCAGTATTATCACGATGCTTATCTTCATCTTATATTTTAATGGCCATGTCTGATACTGATAGACGATGTTACATCATGGCAAATAATATGTTCATGCTGAATATGACCTGCTGGCAATGACGCAATAATGGATCTTCGGTTCTATCTGACATGCGGTCTGTGATTCATTGCTGTGGATTCATTGCTGTGTATAGGCCTAAAATATAAGCCCTATCTGATCTGCTGCGGGGGATATAGACTTTGTTCTATTTTCCTGAAGCATAATATTGTAGCTTAAACTTAAAGGGAAGTGGCGATGATACTCGCTAGAATTATGATTATTGATTCTGTAATACAGTTGTGTGGTATTGTCTTCATGTCATGAAAAGTTAATGTAAGAAGAAACAATTACTCATTTCGATGTTTAAAATAATAAATAACCCTTACTATGACAAACATCATGATTATGTGGTAACAGATCAAAAATACTATATACTTACTTTATAATTATTTGATAAAATAGTAATACTTAAGAACAGCTTTCAGTGCATGATTATTGTTGAATTATGTAATCATTTGATGGATGATGGATCCATGCATTGGCTTGTAAGTGAATACTGTCACTATAGTTAAGGTTCATTACTAGTGGTATAATGACAATATAAATACTGAGAATAAGTATGTGAAAGTCAACATACAGAATGACAAGAATTAAATGTCTGTAATTGTGCTTGTAAATTTAATATTCTACAGTAATATACTATTTCCTGTAATAATGTGCCCTCACGTTTATTCATCTATTAGTTTAAGCGGTACCACCATTATCCATACCTGTGAGACCTTGTTTAATATCAGTTGCTTGATTTTAGACAGAACAATAAAAATAAATGCAGGGTGATTTGCTCCAAATATAGATATCTGCACATTTTAGTGTCGTACTATTTTACACTAGCCATAAATCTGTCGCACTTACATTGTGATGACTAATGTTCCAAATTATTTCATTTAAAGCTCGATAATGTCGCTCATTTTTCACAAATCATTTAAAAATGGGCTGCTTTTTTTGGAGTATTTATGGAGACTCAACTAACCATAATTCTAACACAAAAGTGTCCACGGGAGGGTTTGTAGTAATAATCAAACAATTTCTTTTCTTCTACACCCGTATTTTGTGTGGCTCACATTTGGTGTAATTTGTATCCATTGTGTTTGGTACGTATCGCAAGCCAAGCGTGTATGTCGCGGTTCAAAAATAAAATGAAAAAGGGAGAGAGAGAAAAAAATACATGTTCGGAGTTTGATCGGCAGGCCTGGCATAGCTTGATGATATTGTTCGGGATTGAATGGGTATTTTGTAATCTTTGTATATGATCAATCATCGTTTGCAGTCGTGTTGCTCAACATAAAACACTACTCGCAAAATAAAATGAGGGGGCGGTGGGCAACTTGTTCCTAAAACTCTCAAACAAGCCATTGTAAGCTTGTAAATGAGAAATAACCAGGTACGACAGACTTGTATTATTATATAAAATATAAGAATGAACAAATACTACTGAAGATAACTATTACCAGATATAGCCAGGTCTGATTTTGCTTCGATAAGAAGTTGCTCCTGAAAAAGGAATGTATTTGTTTGTACACTGACTGTGTCAATAGTCATGAAGGAAATTATGATAAGCCTACTTGTCTTGCATCCAGATTTTCGCTTTAATATCATAACCATTTTCTTAGCAGTAGTTAGGAGCAGTATACTTTGGCTTATTTCAACTACACCCTTAGCAATGGGTAGTTGAAACTTAAGAACATATGCCAGAAATGCGGGCATGATCATGAGTCAAGACACTTTGAGAGAAATAAGCACAATACCAGTATTTACTTCATGCTTGTGTTTTTACACCATTATACCTATTTTCCTTGTCCATGTACACGCATTATGTTTACATGCACAGATTTTCGACTACCCTGCCTGAATATAACAACTGTGAAAGGGTTGTATATGCCTGTGCACCATAGGGGTTCCACCGCCTGGTAAATGGCGACCGGGGAGAGAGGCTGTAGAAAGTGGGTCATATGATTATTTATAATGTTTCACAACACCTCAAAGAAATGATTCGATGGGCCTACTTACAAAATTGGGAGAAGGAGTTAGATGAGTAGATAGAGTGGGCCATGAAAAAAAAATACAATCGTTTTAAGAATATAAAAAGAGAAACGTAATTTAATGGTTTTGTTCTATTCATGTGCTTGTAAGGAATGCATTATTATTATTTCTTTATCATAAAGGTTTTTTTTTTCTATTCCAAGAATACTTTCTCCAATAAATCTTTTGCTTTAGTCACAAGTATCATGCTTATCTGCTTGTATTTCGTTGTTTGCTCAAAATCAGATGCCCAAATAGCTACATAATATTCACAGTATTTCACACGTTTGCCTAAATCCTCTAATTAGAAATTAATTAAGCCTTCGAAATCGATGACTGCTTATCCTGATACAAGTTAGATTTATGCATAAATTTGGTGACTCCCCTAAACTCTGATTACTCTATGCTTGTGACGGTGTATCCCTGCTCTATCTCGGACTCGGAGCTCTGACTAATCACGGGTCGAGATTTTTAGTGGAGAGAAATCGAAAGTGCATCGGACAAGAGTTGTAGCCTGTCTCCGAAACGCGAAAATATATTCCTCGAAATCTCCTTTCCGGTGATAAAAGTGTGGCTAGAGTTTACAGGATATAAAGTGCTCACGATTTTCACGCTTTGAATAGATCTCGCAGTCCAGGGAGAAGCAGGCCTGTTGGCTTTGATGACTTTGAGTATTTGATGGAGAATCGTTGATAATAAGTTTTTGCATGGATTGTGACGGGTTGGATTCGCCTGGGACGTAGACTAGAAGGAAGCGAAAGATCGTGTATTGTTGGTAGTATAGAGTGCAACCCGAAACCCTGCGGTACTCTTTCCTCGTCTACTCCCAAGTTCATTGCACTTTTTACGCCCATGATCACCCTTTTCCCGTCCGCATGCTCTATCGTGGGGAAATGTGAAGTGAAGTTCAGATTTTGTAACCGTCCTGGGATTCTCGAGTTGGAGCAAGAAATGTCCCTGGTAACCTGATGCGTTCCTCGTTTACATCGAGCTTTTCCTCCTCCTCTATCTTTACCATTATCATTATCTACCTCGTAACCACTTTTATCTTTCATCTCTCCCTCTCTCCTTGCATCTTTTCCTCTCTCTCAATCTCCCACTTTCTTCCACACTCGTAATGACCCCCACCCCCGCCCCTCTTCCTCTCTTGTTTTTCTCTGTCAGTTTCATCATCTTCTCTCTATTCTGTCTGTTCGTTTTTTTTTCTCTATCAGTCTGTCCGTCTGTCTCTCTTTCTCTCTCTCTCTCTCTCTGTTTCTTTCTCCTTCTCTCCCACTTATATCTTTTCATTATTTCACTCTTTTTAAATCTTTCACTTTCCTACAATCTCTTTCCATCTTCCACCTTTTACCCCTCTCTCTCTCTCTCTCTCTCTCTCTCTCTCTATATATATATATATATATTATATATATATATATCTTTATCTCACTATCTTCTCTACCTTTACATCCGTCTCTCTCTAGTGACTCTTCCCTTTCTCTTATTTCCATTACAGTCAACAGGTGGAGAAGTTATGACGTCACTGTTTGAAGAGGGGAGGGAATGATGATGTCATCGTTACAACACGTATAGGGGTAGTTGTAAAGTTATAATTTAAAATAAAATAAAATAAAATTTCAATAAAACGTCCAATCAATAATAATTATGAATGTAGATGTACTTCAATAAATTGCCTCTAGTGGAATGCTAGTTATGAAAAGAACATAGCATGGTGAGGAGTTTGATGAGGATTCCTATAAAACAGTAAAACCTTCCTGCTTCTTAAGAACAATATCTTATGACAGTGAATATATTGTTCAACAGTCATTCGTGTTGTCAATGGATATGATGGGCCTAGGAAGTAGGAACTTTGTTTTTCTAACAGAACATATTATGTAGAAGAATTTCTGATGATGCTGTTTTATCATTCACTTTAGGGTCGTCTAGTCGAATCATCGCCGCTTTACTTCAAAGGAATTTCCAGTTCGTTTTCTGTCTGTAGCGGTTGTCATCTTCAATGATGAAGACATTCTGTTAAATTGTAGAAACCATCAAAGTTCAAATTTGCATCGTCTGCATAGAGTGCAGGGGCTTGTTCAGTGGTATTCGCTAAGACTAAACTCCTAAGGATTGTTCCATCGGTCTTAATTTATCTGCAAGTGTAGCTTTGTCTTACTATTTGATTTCAAACAATCGAAAAATTAAGTATTATTATCTCAGTAGTTATCTTTCTTTGTTTCGATTTCTTTAGAAAAGATAAGGCCAAATTACTGGATTACTAAAATCAATTACTAAAATGGATCCTCTTTTTTCGTCCATTATTTTCGAAAATAAGGACGAGGGGTCCCATGTTAATATATTTGGTTTTTATTTGGGACATTGAAATATTAGGTAAGTTTCAACACAGATTTTGTCAATACAATTTCAAATGTCATACATCCACGTTAGAAACTGAAAACAAGGTGAGATTACACCCTAATCAATGATTTCTTTTTTTTGTTGTCAGTCCTAACTAGATGTCCCTAGATTGTTATTATTTTATTTGATTTCGGAACAGACAGTCATGTAAGGCAGAACGAGGAAAGGACTGAGGAGGGACCCAACAAAATTAAAATGATATTTGTTTGGTCAAAGGCCTTTCTACTTGCACAAAATGAAGTAAAATGGGATCGTAGTTTTGTCCTCTTCTAATATCTGTTTATTTCTTTGTCATTATTATTGCGGGGAACATTGAAATGCTAGGAAGCGCCGAAAGATTGTGATAAAATCAATGATAGAAGGTGATCTGCATGGTGTATAGGGTGGTTAGACAACAATGGCACATTTATGTGTGAAAACATTAGTTTCTCTGAATGGTATACACGGTGTGCAACCCTGTTTGTTTATTCTGAATTAATCATGTTAATTATTCGACACCCTTCGACAGAAATTCGTCCATTCTCTCTTTTCGTTTCCCTCCCGCTTTTTTTATTTTGCCAAGGGAAGCATTTGAGCATGTATTAACGGGATTAGTACGCGACGATGCATTGGGTCGCCGAGCAAATTTTCGATGCCGCATTTGTGACCAATATTTTCCCTCCCTGCATGCCGTGCAAGCAAAGTTGGTCTGGCTTTATTCCACACGCCTGCCCCTATGAAAGAGTATATGGGTATGCAATGACTCTCGGTCGAATACAAGATCACACTTCAAACGGGAGATAGAATTTGGTCATTCTCCGTTCCGATGTCTCATATTTGCATAAGGAGAAGGGTGAGGTGAAGAAATAAATAGCTTGTCTGTCTGTCTTGGGGAGAAGTCGCTATCTGACCATTTTGACTCGCTTGCGCTTGTTGTATTTGGACGGGACGCATGAAGGTCACATTATCTGAAATCCATGGGCTATTACTGTCTTCTGTCGTGATTTGGCATGAGATAATTTAAAAGCCAGCTCAGAAAACGTCAGATTTTTTTTTTCCTACGATTTCCAAGTCGTAGGAGAGAGGCGGGAATTACTTTCCGGGTCCGACGGCGGGGTGGTATGTAGCCATAAACCATAACAATGCTTTGTCCCTTTGCATATTATTGCTAATTATATCTCACTGGCCGTGGTTATGCCATGTGCCTTTTTTCCTACGTTTCTCCGTCTGTGATTATTTGATGGCGAGCAATTAGTGGAATCATCAGGACGTGGATAAAATTATACATTAAATTGTTATCAAGAATCTGATTAAATTGGATAATGTCTGCTAGAGAGAGAGAGATAGTGAAAGACAATGAGGGATGGATGCATGGAAAATGAGAGAGAGAACGTAATATGATGACACGACTGAGTAAGAATGAGAGAGAGGTAAAGAACGAAGATAAGATAGAGCTAGAGAGAAAGACAGAGGGGAAAGATGGAGTCGGAGACGGGTGTCAAGGAGATGGAAATTGAGAGAGAGGGACAGATATAGGGAGAGAGAGAGAGAGAGAAAGGGAGCGAGAGGGAGAGATAGATAGATGAAGAGAGAGATGAAAACATAAAAAGAGAGGAGGGGAGAGAATAGTTTTAAAAGGCTGCATTTCAAGTCATGCGCGAATCATTACGTGCACATCTTTTCCGCCTATTTTGGTTGACCGTGCTTGTGCAGTAGTATCGGTGGCGCCACTTAGGCGCCTACTCCGGCCCCCGCCCTGTGGCGCCAAAGTCGATGAGCCAGCCATCAGCTAGGCAGGCAGCTATAGCTTTTTACCGCGTTAAAAAATCTCCACTCTACCTGATCAAACTGTCCTTCTCGTTGATGGATAGCCGCTCCCTTTTTTGTAGATTTGTTTTAAAAAATTATATATTAAAAAAAAAAATCCCTCTTCATCCTCTCTATGTATTAAATTGCAAATTCAGTTTTTTGTTGTGTGTAATGGTATTTTAACTCAAACTGTGTATCGTTATGTACATGTGTTATATACGTGTATATTGAAGAGAGTAGAATAATGAGAGAAGGGAAATACATTAGTAACACATTTTGCTAAGGACTGATACGACTGAAGCATGGAGCTGGTGCATATTAATAGCTGAGATGTGATAGTTTTGTTCAGAATATATTTGAATAGAAATTGAATTGAAACTGAATTTATTTGTCAAATTCCAGCTTCTTTTTCCTCTTCATCTCTCTCCCTGTTCATCTCTCTCACTCTCTCTTTCTTTTTCTCTTTCACGGGTACCTCGACCTCTTCAGATATCTTGCTCGCGTCTTCATCATGTTTCCCACCTTTCTAAACAGCGTCATCTTATTCTAAATCAATATATGTTATTTCATAAGCATTTATTTTTTTTGTCTGTTTTGTCCTTGCTCCCAGCAGCTCCAGCGCTCCGGATGGATTTCAACTTTGACCAGTCCGACGTGAAACCTGAGCTGGAGGAGCCGTGTCCGGTGTGCGGAGACAAGGTGTCAGGTTACCACTATGGCCTGCTGACCTGTGAGTCCTGCAAGGGGTTCTTCAAGAGGACAGTCCAGAATAAGAAGGTCTATACATGCATAGAGAACAGGAATTGCGCTATTGATAAGACACAACGCAAAAGGTGTCCCTACTGCCGCTTCCAGAAGTGCCTCAAGGTTGGCATGAAGCTTGAAGGTAGGTCGCTACTGCCCTTGACTTTTCCCGTACAATGCCTTCGCCTTTTGAAAGATTTTCAGCCCCATCTGTTCCCCGGTGACTGCAATTTAATGCTTAACCAAATGCAGGCTTATGAGAATTATAGTTATTGTTCCCTTCTATACTATGTTATAAAAAGGCTACACGTATAAAAAGATTCACATGTCACCTCGTCTCTCTGACACACGCCTCTTTTTTCATCTCTCTCGCTCATTTTTTGTTTCTTTTATATCACTGTCTCAACTATCGATCTGTGCTATCTATAGCCTTTGTCAATCAATCTAAGAGACACTTTATAGTGTAATATTTTGGTGTGGAGATGAAACCATTATTGTGTGTAAACATTTGTATTTCATTCGGCCGGTTAATTCCAAATGTTGATGTAAAGTCAGTTGGTATTAGTTAATGTGCTATTTCATTATTTATTTATTTGTTATTTTGTTTGTATTATTATTATTGATCGTAAGTATTTTTTTTTTTTTTGAAAGATAATTATATATTATTATATTTCATTGTTTATTTGTTTCAACCATGGACTTACTATAGAAGTCCATGTTTCAACTTTCAAATGCACATACCTTTTTTAGCGGGGGTTTCAAATTTTCCAGCATTGCCAGCCACTAAAAATCTAAAAATACTGCTTTCTTCCCTGCAGCTGTGAGGCCGGACAGGATGAGAGGAGGACGAAATAAATTCGGTCCCATGTACAAGCGTGACAGAGCACTAAAACAACAACAGAGAAACCGTATAATCGCCAGTGCCCGGGCTATGTCCACGCCGGGCAACCCGGACATAAGCATGGCTATCAAAAACATCCATGCGGCGGCCTCACGGAGTTCAGGCCTCCCTCCACCTCCAACCATGGTCATCCGCGACCACCTCAACAAGGGCCCCATCATGAACATCCCTCAACCGATGTCGTTACCCCAGAACGACCCCTACGGCCCTCCCCCGCAGATACAGCCGCTCAACTACACGACGTCGACAGCGCCCATCCAACCACCCACATCCAGTCCGCCCCCGCCCGCGTCGAGTACCAGCCCGTTGTCGGTGAAAACCGAACCTGACCACACCCCGAAGCTCATCCAGGAGCTCATACGAAGCGAACCAGACCAGGCTCAACTCCAAGCTAAGGTCGCTTCGTACTTCCAATCTGCCATGGGTATGACGGCACCAGGGGACTTCTTCAGTATGGTCTGCAAGCTGGCTGACCAAACCCTCTTTGCATTTGTGGACTGGGCCAGGAATAGTCTCTTCTTCAAGGAACTCAAGGTAATTATGACTTCACAATAATATTTGAAAGTTAAGAATTTATCATTTTGAATGCAAACAGATAAGAGTTTCAATTTCACCTAATGGACTGTCTATTTTGTAGATCGTAGAGGTGTGAAAGATAATTGTTTTTGCTTTGAAGTGACGATAGCTAGAATTGGAAACATTATTTTTTTCTTCCCTGTGTTTTTACCGTATTTCTTACTGTTTTATCTCAAATTCAAGAAATACCCATATATTGCTTCCACCAGATCAATCAATTTGGATATGGAAGAACGAATTCTTTTAAAAAATAAAAATATTAAAGTTTCCATTTGTAGACATAATATACAGTGACCTTTTTAATAGGATTTTCCCCAGCTTTCTTGGATTCCCCTGATGTATGTTTATTGTGTGGTTGTTTTATTCATTATTCCTTTTTATTTCTCATTCCTTTTTATTTCTCATTTCCCTATATTGGTTATTTCATGTGGTAGATAGAAATATCAAGGTCATTTTTTTTCAAAATGCATACACTGGAAGGTAATTAATCGGTTGTTGGCATGAATGAAATATTCCATAATATTATTATGAGGATTTGCCAACCCTTCTTTTAAATGTTATTCCCATAAATTAAAATGATTATTCTTCTCAGATCAAAGGAAATCACACCATATTGCTTTGAAAAAAATTCACCATATGCACTTATTATAATGGGTACATGTGCTGTAAAATTAATTCATAATAACGATAGCGAGAGAGAACAAAGGAAATATACTCCCGTTGAAGTTTCTAATTAACATTTTCATTCATCATTCATTGATTTCTTGGAAAATTTACATCTTGTATCTTTTCGTTTTCTCAATTCATTTGGCAAAAAAACTAGTAATATCAAACTATAGACAAAATATTTTTTAAGGAATATACTCTGTAATAGTTGATTTTCCAAACTATCTTGCAAATCATGACGTTCCAGATTGAATTGCGTTGTATAGCATCAAAGTCCTGTATGATTTTCCACGCTTTCTTTGTTCTAAAAAAAAAATCGTTATTTTTCTTTCTCTTGCTCTTTTAATATCCTTTATTGTCTGGAACTGTTCGGACGTGTTATTGAATATTGCTGCCATTCAAGCATTTACGCACTAATGAGCAGGGGAGAAAAAAAAACTGGATTTGATGATTACACTAATTATATTGACAGAACATAGCATACACTCTCTCTCTCTCTCTCTCTCTCTCTCTCTCTCTCTCTCTCTCTCTTTCTCTCTTTCATTATGTTTCTGTGTGTGTGTGTGTGTGTCTCTCTCTTTCATTCTGTTTCATTCTGTTTCATTATGTTTCTGTGTGTGTGTCTCTTATATCTATCGCTAATTTCCCTTCTCACACACCATGTTTTCACCATCACCTATTTCTCTTTCTAGACTGTACATCAGTACATCTCCCTCACTTCATCCACCCCCCTCTCTCTCTCTCTCTCTCTCTCTCTTTCTCTCTCTCTCTTTCTCACTGTGTCTGCCCCCTCTTCCCTCTCTTTCCCTCTTCCTCAGTCTTCCTCTGGCTTTCATGCTCTTCATTCAAGGGATTGTTCCCCCCCCCCCCTTTCTGCCGTTAACGATTCACTACACTCATTAGGTCAAGCGACAGGCCTCTAGTATCCATACCGCATACAATCTGTTGACCCGAAACACAAATAAAAGAGATTAAAATCGAATTGGAACCCTTATGATAATTTGTACGACTGCGTAGTATGGTTTATGATTTATGAAAAGGAAGTATTCTTATACCCATTGAATAGGCATACACTGCAGTTCTTTTATTTTATCACGAGAACATTTTAAAAGATAACAAATCCAGGGAATATTATAAGGAAGGGTGGCGCCATGATTATTATGTATTGTTTGCATATTAGTGTCAAATGACCAATTCATATTCATAGTTTTGTCCCTTTTCTGATCTAGCACACGCACACACTCAGTCACCCACACGCACATACACACGCGCACACTGTGTCGCAAATATTGGAATAAGTGTCTGATTAGTGATTCCAGATAGAGTGACTTCATGATCATTTTGAAGCCCAATATTTTGAGGGCTTCAATATTACCCCATATCACAGACACTGATAACACGTAGGGCCATGCATCTCAGATTTGTAAAACTGGAAATATTGTTAAAACAATGCCTTTACAATACTTTTTATCTGCACTATGTCTATATGAATAATGAAGTGAAATCGGAATAGTATTATATCTGGCCGCAAACCGCCGCCAATATTCATCCCTGTTGGGTCAAGGTTAAACGAGCCGCAGGGATTAGCGCTACATTTTCCAACAACCATCTTTACAATCATCCATGCCTTTTATATTCGTTTCCATTCGTTTCCATGCCTTCTTTCATTGCTTCCAATGCCTCTCAAACTCAAAGAAACGCTATTTTCGCGAGTTCATTTTTAAAAGGCTTCTGACAGACAATAATACCGATAAGGCGATGCCTCTTTTAAAGTGAGTGAACAGCTGAATTTGAACGCGAGCATCTTCAGCTATCTTCGTATTGGTAATTAAATTGAGCTCAATTATTGATCAGCTCTGTTCATTAATATTCATAATTGTGCAGAGGTTATAAGGTTTCTTTTCAAACAAGGCATTTTTTGTGTCCTTCAGGTTGAATTGTTGAGAAAAAACCTCAGCCTCTTACTCACCTGTAACTGTCATTTTGGAATCGGTGTAATTTGAAACGCCTCTAGTTGTATTGCAAGAGAGACATTTTTGTTTGAAAAGCTTCATTATCATTCTCCGTAAATCAGAGCATTTTATAACAACGCCCTGTTTATCCTATTCCTAATTTTTTGTCGACGACGGCAGATGTAGCCACCTTGCATTATCATCGTAAACACTCTACCTGTGTTCTTACGTAATGGGTTTATGATTGGAATGTTGCCCCCATCCCCAGCTTAGTTAAATGTATGAGTCTAGTGCTGTCTTGGATTTTCTCAAGTAAGCACTTTTGAATCAGTAGACTGTTTCTCACGTCAGTGGTTCGTCTTATCTCTTCACCTAAAGCGTGAAGCTCCGACATACTAATCCCTTCCCACGGTAGAAACTTGGGAAATTAATTAAATGATAATAATTTAGTGTAATGAGATTTCCTAGGTTTTACCCAGGAATGTACCATTAAAATAATGCATTGTGAAAATTTTAGAAAAAAACAATCTTAAATGATAGGATAAACTCCCTAATTGGCAATGTGAATGACTACTGAATTAAGGGTGGCTCGATTGAGTCTTTAGGGAATATAAAACTATAGATCATGGCGTGATTAGCCAAAACAGGGGCTTCTTCCTGACGGTGAAGGTTGATAACTGTTTTCATTTTTTAATAGTATCCACTAACTGATAAAATGTTGTCTTCTCAAAAGTTTGAATTGCTCTTGGTCATTCTATTAGCCATTTGACACAATCATTGTATCGATTTTAGTCATCATGACTTGTCATGTACGTACATGTATTCCTATTCGGTATATAACTCATTGAATTTAATTTACAGCGTTCAATCTCCTGGTATATGTGTATTTACAAATGTGTTTCATCCCTCGCGGGGTACAGTAAAGATTTGAATCTTGCATAATTCGATTTCGTGTGGGTATGTTTTCATGAAATTCAAGTCCACCCGAATCTTCCAGCATGTTATACCCCCTGCTATGTCCAGGCCTCACCCATGCCTCATCCAACAGACCTTTTCATGATCCTGATTAGGCAAAATGCCTGCTTCATTTCACACGATAACATACCAGTTCAACCAACGTACCCAGACTATTTATCGCCATAACGGTTGCCCGCTGTATGAGTCTGAGACGTATTATGTAACGCGCCCAGACTAACGCCGCTCAATCAATACTTCTTACCAATAGATTTTGGATAACCTGTGTTTGTTTCGCACAATAGCCGATTACCTGGAACACAATTGGCACTGTCTAGCCCGATACAATAGTCCATTCAGAAGGATGTAGAACTTCAAGGAAGACCCAGGGTTGGGGTAGCAAGATCGGTACCAGTGATTGTTCAATGTCTGGTAGTAATATATTATGTCTTCGTACAGTAAAGTTTGTCTGTCTAAGTTAATTATTCTATCAATATGACCCTACTATTTGAAAATTTTACATGAATTAGGTTTGAACCAGTGGCAGAAACCAGTGGCAGAAAGATTATTGAAACCAGTATTATACCCAGTGCATGCGGCTCCCCAACGTATATTGATGAATAAGATTGGATTATCACTCCATTTAAAACAATCAAGGGTTTGTTTCTTCGTTATCAGTTAATGAGAGATTAGATTGCATGACGTTGGAAAAAACAAGACTTCAGTGTAATTAGTAATATCAACGCGAATCGTAATAACTGCCAGGATATAGAACAGAAGGTGAATTTGTTTTTCACAAATTCTGCCCGGTTTGATTTTATCTTATCAAACATAGGGTCTGTGTTCAAAGACTTTGATAGTAATGGTGCCACCCCTCCCCCTTCAGAATGAGATCAGTGCCCCGCATGTCTGCATAATGTTCATCTATCTGATAAGTGGTACATGGGTAGGTCTGAGTTCTTCAAGCTGACACACACATTCGTGTGTCTGCCACTCAGCAAGTCCAGACATTGTTACGTCATATTACGTAACAGCCTGATTATATTATCAGGTCCGTTATATACTGGACCAACATCGCGAACATGCATGCATGGCGATTTTTATAGTTACGTCTGGCTTCATGCTATAAATTGCGACATGTTATGAAAGTTTCATAACTGTTATCTTGGTGAACTTCCCACAGAAGCCACCACTGTCTTTTGTCTTTTTAGATCATAAGTCCGATGTTGATGATGATATTATTCACTGTCTCTATCTCTCTCCTTCTCCCCTTTCAGTTTCATACATTCTACAAAAATAAATTGTAGTGTGTGTTTGTGAATAATTTTGCTCTATTTTCTGCTGTTCTTCCGTATGGATACAGAATAGTCATATGAGATTTAGATAATCTTGTTTTCTCAGATTTATATGAAGACTAATTTCTTCTGTTCTCCTTCTTGGACTCCTTCTCACTCTCAGCCATCTTCTTTTTCTTCTATATTCCTCTTCTTCCTTTATAATAAATTACCATGGTACACGGTTCATAAACAAATATTTAGGTACACTACATAATTATTATAGAGCCACTGTGTACGGTCTGTATCATGGTAATACCATGGTAGTGCCATGGTTTTGTTCTGTTAGTGTTATCATCTCTGTCCAGCCTATACATACTCTATTTTAGGTAGGTCTGGTAGATATCTCTCAATTATATCTTTATTGATCACTATCTCGTCTCTTCTTCCTCTTATGGAGGAAACCTATACCAAAAAATAATAGAAAACAAAATAATCTCAAAGTTCACTATTATTGCTATAAATTCTGTCTTTAAAGACAGACCATGGTAAACGATCAAATATTTTAATATTCCTTTTTCTTTCTATTTCTCTTCCTGTCTGTAGGTTGAAGACCAGATGAAGCTCCTGCAGAACTCGTGGAGCGAGCTCCTCCTCTTCGATCATCTCTACCGACAGATCCACCACCACGGAGAGGGTGTCCTCATGATCACTGGCCATACGTTAGACCAGGCCACGCTCTCACACATGGGTCCTGCTGACGTCATTGATCAGATGGGCAACATCGTCATGCGAATGCGTGAACTCAAGCTGGACCACAAAGACTATGTTTGTCTTAAGTTTATGATCCTCCTTAATCCAGGTGAGTGTTCCCTCTTTAGAAATTGTCTGGAAACTCTGGATAATAAATAAGATCGGAATGTCGTATAAATGATCTGAAAATGTTGCATGTGCAACAGGATGTTTGGAATGAACTATACCCAATTTAGTCGGAGTACATTTATTAAAAATAACAGAAACAAGTTTTGTGGCTTGACATCCAATAGATATGTATCACTTCAGAAGTTCTGATACTACTGATGACAGATGAATATAATCTTCTAGAACTATCTCTTAATCCATTGCATGTGCTATAGTGTGCCCCTGACATTCCCTCAAATGTGTACTAATGTTATTGTGCTTTCATTTTCTGTCCCCAGGTATTGTTGCACTCCATGATAAGCATATAATCGACGGATGCCAAGACCAGATCAGCGCTGCCCTGCTAGAGCATACCATGACGGCATACACAAACGTTTCAGACAAATTCCGACTCATGCTGAGGCTACTTCCTGAGATCAGGCAGATCAGCCAACGGGCAGAGGAGTACCTGTACTACAAGCATCTAAACGGCGAAGTACCCTACAACAGCCTTCTTATGGAGATGTTGCACAGCAAACGAAAATGAGCCGATTGACATTTCTGATGACTTCCCTCTTATTCTATCAAGAAGAGGGGGTGTCTGAGACTTTGAGTAAGGACCACTTATGCACTTCGTCGCACCTATGTAACACCTGCAGCTCTCGCGCCTGAACCACACTTCCATTCACGTTTAACGGACGGATGGACGGACAGACAGACGAACCAAGACATGTCGCGTGAACAAGTGGGGGGTTGTCCGGCCGGGAGTGTCTGATTTTCTAGTGTGTGACCAGCGTTTGTGCATACGTATTACGTGGTATCATCTTCCGTGACACAAACGTGCTCGGGATGCCGTTATGAGGACGTATGCATCAAACTTTTATATGCATGAAGAATTGCTGAATACGCAAACCAAAGAGTGTTTATGGACAAGACTGTATATACTAAATATATATACCTATGTGACTCTTTTTATCATTACTATGTCAAATGGCAGGATGTTCCCATGACGCATGTGAGAAGCAGACGACATAAGGATATTTTGTTCCCAAGTTTCGTCGCAGAAAGCCATTGCCCTAACTGTCTTATCCTTTGCCAAGATGAAAATGAACTCATGAAAACAACAAAATGGTATCTTAAAATACTGTACGTACAAAGACCTCTCATGGTCATATCTCTTTTTTAAATAAATTTTGCTTGGATGTGTTTATCGAGAAAAACATTATATGAGGACGGAGGGAGAAGGAGGAAGAAGAAGACGACTTCGCAGCAAAGCTGTGTTTCTCTTTTAAAAGCGTGCCATGACGACTGAAACGTCTGGTATGTAGCTATGGCAACTAACTGATACCAGACCCCACATTGTAAGTTAGTTTATGTTCTCTAGTGTAAGAGTATATGTCATGTCTATGTTAGTGTAAAATGGCCATCAAATGGTGTTTAACTTGATCAAAGTAGAAGAAATAAAGGTGTGTTTGGAAATTGGAACAACATTGCATAATGAGAAATGAAATATCCCATTGAAATTCATACTAAGCGCACACCTCAACTTTAGGGTATGCCTTTTTAAACTGCATCACACCGAATTCATTATTCAAGGTGGATGAGAAAATGAAATAAACTTTTTTAATGAGGTGTTATGTGAACTCAGTGATTCAAAATCGTCATAAAAAATACTTGTAATTTGTATAAAACATGAAATCCTTGTCACTGTGCATCCAGTTCTGCATTAAATGCACGTGCACACTTTTTCTGAAATCATGTAGTTCTTGAGGAAGAGTACTAGGAATCCAACTTGATGACAATGTAAATCTGGATTAAGTCGATCAGGATCGCACACAGACAACACACAAACAAATTTGTTTTGGTTCTTTACTGCTCTCCTGAATTTGTCAAACTCTTAAGGCTGAAATTTTCTTGTTTAATTTGAATTTTATAACTAGGCAAAATGACTTACCTGTTAAGTGTCCATCACCGAGTTAGTTATTTTCCTGAAAAGGATGGTTCCCACAATGTCAGCCCAAGCCTTATTGAAATCTTGTGAAGGTAAACTGAGGATTTAATTCTGTATGTTGATGCACATTGGTCTAGTTTCTGTTTGACATGAATCTAAGTGATGTTTGATGTCATAAGCGCCCTTGCCATATTAGATCCTTCCACCCTCTTCCGAGTAATAATAACATAATAATAATAATAATAATAATAATAATAATAATATTGATAATAATAATAATATGCTTGTTTACCCAGGGTAGCCTCATCAGTATTAATACTGTTCTCCCTGAGGGCCCTGCAATTACATTATTACCCCGGCCTTAGGAGCATGATTCAATAAGGATTAAATTTATGACCACATTTTGAAATTAAATCCATAGTGCTGACTGTTATGGTATTTTCTGCACAAGTTGTTCGTCATTAGCACAAACCAAAAGCAACTCTTCTTATTTTTTTTAATCTAACCATAGGCATGAAAAGTTCTGTTATGTTTTGGTAATGTTTGTTGATTTTAATGTCAAACTATGTGATCGTGGTTTTAAGTCTTCATTACGAATTGGTGACATTTTGATTGTCCGCTATGAGCACAATATTTTGTCATAGCTCTGAATATAGCACCAAACTTGTGATACATGTATGCACAAAAAGTAGTTGCAGCTACGAGTTACCGCTGTTTCATCTGCAAACACTGCCCTCTATAGATATTATATTTACAACTTCTGAAGTGAGAAATTGTATTTCAGATTGTAGGACCTCATTCATAGTTATTTATTGTCTATTTTTCAAACAAAAAGAGAAAATTATTGTTTCGGTAATAATGATTTTAATTCAAGAACACAGGCTGCGTTGTCTATTTTGCACGTTTATGGAAATGGCGAAATAAAGGGGTTACGAACTATGCATTTGTTTATCATTTTAAACTTAAAACGCGACATGACATAGCCCTTCCTCTTTCTTAACTTTACTAACTTGTTCAACATTTATAGCGGTGGGGGAAAGGAATGAATTATCGTAGGCCTCATGTTCTCCACATCCGGGCATTTTGTGTGTGATCTTTTACAGGGTAAATGTAAGTTAGGTTGAGGAAGAAAAAAAAAAACAACGCGTAAATTAGAGTACTTTTAAGTTTTAAGACAGTGAAATGTTTTATATATGATGTCAGAATTATGATGACTATGCACCCCCCCCCTTCCGATTTGAAATGTGAAATTCGCCTGTAAGTTATTAATTTATCTATTTACAACTTCATTACATACTTCTTTAAAGACTTGCTTCGAATTGAAAGATATCCAAAGTAGTCCAATTGTATGTAATTCAAGAAATTGTCAGTATACTAACTACATCAGAAACAAAGATCTCGTCATCTTTTGTCATCTATGTTATTGCATAAGATATTCTAGTGTTATATTTTATCTCCGAATGTCTCCATCTCATATAGGTCCTACGTTTGGCCATAAAGCAACCCTCTGTTAACCCATACCCTTAATTGACTCCCCATTTGTTGTTCATTTATGCTTATTTTCTGATAAATTGGAGAACACTAACATTTTACTTTCTAATCGCCCTTGAAAAAAAAAGTATTTTTCAAAACCATTTTTCACGGTCTTATTTAACTTTCTAATATTTGCGGAAGGAAAACCTGTGTTTTTAATCAACTGTTGAAATATTTTGTAGTATACAAAGAGACTGGCTCTAAAGACTAGTCGATAAACTACTTGTTGAGTCGTAATAGCTTTGCCCCCTGTGGGTTGTATAGATGTTATTTGTCGAATCGGACATTAAACAAAACAGTGTCTAACAACTCCTGGTGTTTTTAATGTAAATTATAAATACTTGAAATGATGTGCTTAATCTATTCTCATCTCTCTGTCTTTATTTTTTTCCTGGCTGACTTGCTTTAAATGTTGAGAAGTTAATGGTTTTCATTAGCTATTTGCGTATCCGATTTATATCGAGGCATGTGGCAAAGATACGCAAATCAATGAATTTTTCGAATCGAGTTTGCCGCCTTGCCATATATCATTCTCGTCTGGGGGTTTATCTCTCTGTTTTACACATTTCGCGTTAATTTTCTCGACAGTTTTTTTTAACGTTCTACCGTATTTTTTTTTTCCTCGCTTAATCTTTGTTATCATTTTAATCCAATATGGTTAAGCGCGCACATGTTTTTTTGACAATTCTTCTGTTTTATGATATTATACCTTGCCTGTTTTTATGAAGTGACTCATATTGTCCATACTATTATATATTTACAAGAGATATGTCTACTTCGTTATTGATATGTACACTAAAAATGTTTTTTCTTCGTTTTTGTGCATTCAAAGTGCATTCTGTACAATTTTGTGGACAAAAAAAGATAATGGTTGTTGAACACAATTTATCTGGTCTCTTTTGTGTTTTCATTGTTGCAGTTTTGTTTGAAAATTGATGTGATTATTATGGCAATGACGATGGTATTGATGATGATGATGGTGATTTGGACGATGATGATGATGATGAATGTGGTATTGATGAGGTGGTGATGATGATGATGATGATGGTGGTGGTGGTGACGATAACGATTATGATATTGATGATTATGGTGATGATATTGATATCAATGATGAAAGTGGTTGTGGTGGTTGTTGATGAACTGATGTTGATGATGATGATGATGATGACGATGATGATCAGTGAAGGTGGTGATAGTGACGATGATTATGGCGGTGATAAGCTAGACTGCTGTATTGAGAACATGAGATATAACGGAAGGTTGTGAGGATTTCAACAGTGGGAATGAAAATAACAATGAGGATGAAAACCACGACGAATTCTAGCTTGATGACGATGGTTATAAAGATGATAATAGTAACCAAGCATGCCCCTTTAGGCGTATTAACTATTATCTGCAGAAAACCAGACCAGTTTTAAGGGGTATTCAAATTTTCTTCTTCTTCTTCTTCTTCTTCTTCTTCTTCTTCTTCTTCTTCTTCTTCTTCTTCTTCTTCTTCTTCTTCTTCTTCTTCTTCTTCTTCTTCTTCTTCTTCTTCTTCTTCTTCTTCTTCTTCTTCTTCTTCTTCTTCTTCTTCTTCTTCTTCTTCTTCTTCTTCTTCTTCTTCTTCTTCTCCTTCTCCTTCTCTTCTTCTTCTTCTTCTTCTTCTTCGTCTTCGTCGTCTTCTTCTTCTTCTTCTTCTTCTTCTTCTTCTTCTTCTTCTTCTTCTTCTTCTTTCTTCTTCTTCTTCTTCTTCTTCTTCTTCTTCTTCTTCTTCTTCTTCTTCTTCTTCTTCTTCTTCTTCTTCTTCTTCTTCTTCTTCTTCTTCTTCTTCTTCTTCTTCTTCTTCTTCTTCTTCTTCTTCTTCTTCTTCTTCTTCTTCTTCTTCTTTTTCATTTTTTCCACTTCACTTTCCTGTACAACGTGATTTGTTTAGCCCGATAACAATATTAGGTAGAAGAGAATATGTCTTGCATTACTTTGAGGAGGGAAGGGTGCCACATAAAGTACCCCAGGGGGCGCTAGCCTTTGAAATCTATATTATTACACTATGTAATACATATATAAAAGGGAACAAAGGTAGGAACCAGAGATGAAGTAATGGCTTTTCAGAGTTTGAACCTAGGTTTGGAGGCGCACACTACAGTGCGTCCCAGGAAAAACAAAACTGCAAATTATCGATGTTTTATCATAACTTAATCACAATTATAATTAATAAATGACACATATTTGTCAAACTTAGATCCTCCTCTTTCATTTGGTGCAACTCATGCGATGCATTCTTCACGCATAAGTGATTAAAACCAATTTGAAGAAAGAGTACCAAAAAGTCATTTGGCGAACGGTATCTGAATTTCAAAGATAAAATCACATTTCCAGAAAGTTCATTTCTGCCCTTTCATATGACACCTTAATCAGGGAAAATGAGCCAGGAATAACAAAGTTCTGTTTGTTTAATGTAATGTTTGCATTTCCATAATTTTATTAAACGAATTCGTTTTCACTGGCTGCCTGCCGTAGCAACAAACATAGTCGACAAAAGACTTAACTCCGTTTCGCTGATGAACAGCCAAGCATGAAGTCTTTCGTCTGCATCCTATGAGTTGCATCAAATGCAAGAGGAGGATCTAAGCTTGACAAATATTATGTGTCATTTGTTAATTATAATTGTTATGATAAAACATCGATAATGTTCGGTTTCGTTTTTTCCGAGACGCACTGTATAACATAAATTCGTTCAGAGGAAAACTGATCACGGCTACGGTAAGAATTATGATTACTTTGAGCATGCTTTCGGTATGAGGCACTTTCCTTTTGCCCAGTCAAAATTCTAAAGGAACAAAGCCTACATGAATGAGCAAATTGATTGAACAGTATATACCGGAGAATACTGATTGCACATTTAATAGTAAATGTATATAAGCTCATAATTTTGTTTTCCGAAACACTATTTTTGATTGGGAGTGAATTACATGCATTCAAGAATCCAGACTCATTCACAAGAGGACAAATCGACCGACCAGGGGCAATTTCAATACTCATTGTGCATCACATTGAAATTATGTTCGGATTATGTAATTACCTCATTGTCATGTACCCATATGTATTTCAATAGGTGACGCACGAGCCTATACAAAGTGCATTAGGTTGATTTCTCGAAAGTAGGTACGATCGTGGTGATAGAACTTATTTTGCATTTTCAACAGAAAGACCCCCCCCCCCCCCCCCGAAATTTTTTTTTAAAAAAAATACACACATAGTCACACAAAGTACACACAACAACCCCCAAAATGTATGGCCCAATATATTTGTAGTTTTCTTGGAAAAAAAGTAAATCTTAAAGATATAGACTGGTAGTGGTAAAATTGCGGTTCAAGGGTTTTGGGTGCAAAGTATCCATTCAATATTGTTTTGTTTAAATATTGCCTTCAGAGGTTTAGATGGCAATACTTCAACCTAAATTCGCAAAAAAAGCAGAAATATATGCCCAACTGTTCAATGTTGAAGTGCATTCGCTATATCTATCCAGGCCGGATCGATATGATAATTTACCAAATATATCATTAGTAGGCGGTTTCCCGGCAAAATTTGTATCATCACGCACGAGTCAAAACATATTCTTTCACATGATTGGTAATAAGAGCTTCCATTTCAGTTTTGAGAGGGGGCGTTTCCAAAACTGGTCTTTATACCTTTAAAGGGAGGTTCGCCTTATTAGCAAGATGGTTTAATTACGAAGAAGAAACGT